CCCCCCCCCCAAGTTTGGCCAAGTTAACTTAGGGATTCTGCAGATTGCATTCAAAAGAGTATCTTTTGCAAGCATCCTGAAGATCTAATGTCCAAAGACACTCCTGGTAAGGAGACAAACTGTGTTATTCTCTCTCTCTTCACTGACTAACTGTCAAGCCCTCATTACCTGCAGAATTTATTCAAGCTAATTTTAATTGCTTCATTTCCTTTCCCCCTCCAGCTGAGTTAATGCTGATTTTTCTATTTTTCGTAAGGTGGTGAAACATTCTTTTTTTCTCACTTAAAGGATCCTTTTGCTTTCCTTTTTGATCCTACAAAAGATTTGTGTGCAAGGCATGGGAAATCAAACTGTTTTACACAACATTTATTATACTGCTACAGGCGTAAATAGTGAGTGTTTCGGATTTTTTAAGAAAAAGTTTTAAGAGAGTGAGTTAATGAGACTGTAAGTGCCAGTTAATGAGAAGAAAAAGGATGGACCAGTCTGGGGACCTTGAAGCTATTCTGCTCTTTAAATCCCTGCAGGTCTGCTGCATAGCTAAAGAAATAGATGATGATGATGATGATGATGATGATGATGATGATGATGATCATCATCATCATCATCATCATCATCATCATCATCATCATCTATTTCTTTAGCTATGCAGCAGACCTGCAGGGATTTAAAGAGCAGAATAGCTTCAAGGTCCCCAGACTGGTCCATCCTTTTTCTTCTCATTAACTGGCACTTACAGTCTCATTAACTCACTCTCAGACATTGGTATGAGAAAAAATAAAAGGTTTCATTTACTTCCAGTGAACAGATAACACTAAGCTGGAAAGCATGACTTTCAGCAAAGGGCTCAGCAGACTGATCAGGGTAAAAACTCTCAGCAGAGCGGTGTGGCTGACTTTGAATTCAGAGGCAGGGAAAGAACAATCGGTTCATGCTGGGTAAACTAATAATTATCCAGACCAGAAAGATCCCTCCCATCCACACCTGCTAGATGCATGTGCAGCATGAAAGTTTGTCGCAACAACAACAAAACAAACTCCAACAGTTTTCAAGACTCATCAAACATCTATAGAGTCTGTATATTTGAGACATTTCACAAAGAGGTTTGTATGCCTTGAATACACAAAAGGCTGCATGTTCGTGCCATTCCATGGTTTTGAAGCACAGCTCGGATTTCCGGAGTATGTCCCAAACGGGCAGTGTGCCTTTCCAACAAATGGGTCGGATCCAGACTTTGGATGGATTTGTGCAGGTTGGTTCGTTAGTTGTGAGTTAGTAGTGTTGCCCTCCTGGGTCCCTAGAATTACCGTATTTTTCCGTGTACAAGACTGTACTTTCGTCTAAAATCTTTAGAATAAAAATTGAGGGTCGTCTTATACATGGAAGCTGAGGAGAGAACAAAAACAAGTGGAAGGGAAAGCAGGGATCAAAGTGATCCTACAGGGTTTTGATCCCTTTCCCCCTACACTTGCTAAGTCCCACTTAGATTTCTTACTTTTGGGTTAGAAAAGTGGGGGGCCTCTTATACATGGGGCACCTTATACACGGAAAAGTACGGTAAATCTCTGAGACAGGGAGAGATTTTGGATCTTGGATTTAGTTAGGGATGGGGTGGTTTTATTTTAATTCACATTTGAATACAAACAGGTTTAATATGTAGGTCCCTAACCAATTCACATTAACTAAAATATAATTGTCCTTTCGTTTTCACACTTGTTTGAACATTGTGACATGATTCACTTACTAAATAATGCATCCATGAATGGAAATTGCATGCAAAAGCAGCTATTAGCATGGGAAAAAAATAGTGCTGATTGGGGAAATGCATACAAACATGATGTGCAATTTTGTGCACATGGAAACACATGTGATTTTTCTTGCAAACCTTTACCAGGAAGGAGATAAAACTGGTCAGTACCTGAAAACAATGTGAATACAATGAAAAGAAAAAGATTTTTCAACATCCGGCTGCAGCCCAGGTGAATGTAAATGCAAAAGCACCTGTATTTTGCTTCCATTCCATTACCTCACTCTATAGTCAAATCATTAAATATTGCTGACTGTATTCCAATTATATGTTCTCATTTGATAACAAGTTCACCCAGATTCCCTGGGGAATTAAACGTTCATAAATGTAAAAAAGAACTGTCAAAGTCAGTTTATTAACAGCTCAATATATTGAAGATGTTCAGTGAAAACTCTTACCCATTATGCAAAACACTACTGAATTAATAACGGCAAGCTGTGGAAGTAAATAACCATTTGGTAGCTGCATGCCTGATCAGCTTAATTTTGAAATGAGAGCTGGAATTAACTGGATCTCTCTCTCTCTCTCTCTCTAGTTGCTAGGTGAAGAAAGATTTCAAGATATTGAAAAAATTAAAACTATTGGCAGCACATACATGGCAGTATCAGGATTATCTCCTGAAAAACAGGTAAGAAGGTTTTTTTGCTCTGTTGGCTAATAAAGGGAATCTAACCGGTGGACCACCAGGATGAATTTGGAAGGATTTTTGAGTACAAAACTGTTTCTCTAAACCAGTGGTGCCCAGCCTTGGGCCTCTAGATGTTCTTGGACTTCAACTCCCAGAAATCCTGGCCAGCAGAGGTGGTGGTGAAGGCTTCTGGGAGTTATAGTCCAAGAACATCTGGAGGCCCAAGGTTGGGGACTGCTGCTCTAAGGGAAGTGCAACCCCATTTAGGACAGTTCAGTCCCCCAACTCCTGGACACGGGGAATCCCTTATCGACAGGGCTGTGATCTTTGCAGGATTCCATTTCAGTTGATTAGCCTTCATTCAACTCACTGCTCCTTGGTCCTGGTTGCGAACAGCCTCAATTTAGTCAGATGTAACAGAGAAACAGAGGCTTCCCAGCTTCATGCAGATGTTTGAAAGCATGCTGAACAAGACTGGATCCATTTTGGCCCTTGGATCCATCTTTGTCACTAGATGCCCAAGTGTTCACAATAGCAAAGAGCATCAGTGATGAGCATCGAAGCCAAGCTGGTTCTAGCCCAAGAAACAAGGACTTCCCCAAATTCTGCACAAATGCAGTGCTTAGGCTTCATCACCAATATCTATAGCACCACCCACTGTTGCAAATGTATGTTTTCAATTTATGTATATTTATGGAGGTTTGGATCGAGGGGTGGCTCTGCGGCAGAGGAACTTCGAAGGAAATGCCCGTTTTCGTAGCCAGGCTGTTTCTGGTCCTCAGGTGCTGGAAAAACAACAGGGTGTTGTTGTTTTTTTCATTCATCAGTCCTCTTGTTGACCAGATTCCTTGGGAATCCATGACAGCTGATGATTACAATGTTCATAATCACTGGCATCTCCAGTTAGGAGAATGGCCGTCATGACCCTTCACAGAGTTGGGAATGGTCACCGCTCCCTGAGGTAGTAAAGCAGGACTAAGGAGGCTAAGCTTCTCATGCCTGATGCAGCCTCCAAGACATCCCATCTCCATGGCAGCCTATCTTCCTTGCTTTGTTTACTTCCCTCTCTGCCCTTCCCATCACTTAGGCTTTTCTAAAGAATATTAGCTAGATGTTGTGGTTCCCCCAACCTCTGAAATTGCCCCTATGCATGAGGGAGATTCTCCTGTTGGCTCCAAGCTGAAGTTTTTCATGTCAAGTCCTGTGGTTAGTTCCTGTGGTTAGTTCCAATTTTAGGCCATGATTCTCCCAGTGAGGAGACTCAAGGCGGTTTACAAATTATTTAGAAAACAAATCTACTAAAAACACAATAAGTGGTTACCTTAAAAAACACACACAATTAAACATGCAATATTAAAAGAATGTAAAAGCCATTAAAACATCTTTAAAACACATTGAATACACACATACAAACAACACGAACAACAGCAGGAGCAACAACACCAGTGATAGTGAGTAATATTTAATAATAAAAAAATCTTCATTGTCCAATTTGTGTTAAAAGCTTGTCTGAAGGGATCATTTACCTGTCCCACGAAGGACAGGGGGAAGGAGGTAGCATTGTTGGACAGCAGTTTGTGTGCACAAAATTTTGTGAAGGAATGCAGTGGGAGTGCAAGAATGGATATGTGGAGGGTTGGGTTTTTTGTTTTTTGTTTTTTGTTTTTTTGTTTTTTTTACTTAAGGTCCCCTAATTCTCCATTCTGGATACCTTACATATACCTAAATGTGTCTCACCTAGGAGAAAGGCCTCAGCTGGAAATTTGTGAAGATTAGCTAGGCCTATCTCCGCCTATCTCCCAGGTAGCACTCGGGAAGGAAGCGGAAGCATGGGTGGAACTAGGCCTAGCTCAGACTCAAAGCCTTCCAGCCAAGGCCTTTTCATCCAGGTGAGCTTGATTTAGATGTCTGTCAGGTAAAACCCGAAGAATAGAGAATTATGGGTTTTGCAGTCCAATACATCGAAAAATCCCATCCCTAGTGGGAATTTTGGTGTAAGGGAAAGAAAAAGTGTAGAGTGGCCTCGTGAATGTTTTGCTTTGAACAGTGCATATGACACAGGTCCAAAAAAGAGAGGTCATTTCCCTCCCTCCTCCCTAGAGACTTCTCACCTGTGAAATCAGACCATACTGGACTCTGTTGTCTGATGCAATATAAGGCAACGTCACATATTCTTCCTTCAGCAATGTTTAAGGTCCTGCCATGCATAGCATTTCCACTATAGATTCATGTGTACATGCACAGAATGCCCTTGTATCTCAGGGTAAACTCTCTTCCCGAGTGATATGCACAAACAGTCCGCTTCATCAACAGGAAAACTTACCTC